AGGATTTTCTAGGGATTTTTTTAGGATTTTTTTGGGATTTTTTAGGGGTTTTTTAGGATTATTTTGGGGGTTTTTTAGGATTTTTTTGGGATTTTTTTAGGGGTTTTTTAGGATTTTTTTGGGGTTTTTTAGGATTTTTTTGGGATTTTTTTAGGATTTTTTTGGGGTTTTTTAGGATTTTTTTGGGATTTTTTTTGGGTTTTTTAGGACTTTTTAGGGATTTTTTTAGGATTTTTTTTTTATTTTTTAGGGGTTTTTTTAGAATTTTTTTTTTATTTTTTAGGGATTTTTTTGGGATTTTTTAGGGGTTTTTTTAGATTTTTTTATTTTTTAGGGATTTTTTTGGGATTTTTTAGGGATTTTTTTTAAGGTTCTTTGGGTTTTTTTAAGGATTTTTTTAGAATTTTTTTGGATTTTTTTTTAGGGTTTTTTTAAAATTTTTTCAGGAATTTTTTCAGGTTTTTTAAGGATTTTTTTAAGATTTTTTTGGGGATTTTTTAGGGGTTTTTTAGGAGTTTTTTGGGATTTTTTGGGGGATTTTTTTAGGGATTTTTTAAAGATTTTTTTTGTTTTTTAAAGGATTTTTTTAAGGATTTTTTTAGGATTTTTTTGGGATTTTTTAGAGGTTTTTTAGGATTTTTTTAGGAATTTTTTTGGATTTTTAAGGGATATTTTTAAGATTTTTGGGGGGTTTTTTTAAGGATTTTTAAAGGATTTTTTTAGGTTTTTTTTTTATTTTTTAGGGTTTTTTCAGAATTTTTTCAGGAATTTTTTCAGTTTTTTTAAGGATTTTTTTAGGATTTTTTAAGGAATTTTTCAGGGTTTGTTTACAATTTTTTAACGAAGTTTTTCGGGTTTTTTTAGGGATTTTTTAGGATTTTTTTAGGATTTTTTAAGGAATTTTTCAGGGTTTGTTTACAATTTTTTAACGAAGTTTTTCGGGTTTTTTTAGGGATTTTTTAGGATTTTTTTAGGATTTTTTAGGATTTTTTCAGGGGTTTTTATGGGTATTTTTGGGATTTTTTTTATTTTTTAGAGATTTTTTTGATTTTTTTTTATTTTTTGGGAGTTTTTTGGCTTTTTTAAGGATTTTTTAGGACTTTTTTAAGGATTTTTTAGGGTTTTTATAGCATTTTTTAGGATTTTTTGGGGTTTTTTTTTCATTTTTAACAAATTATTTAGGGCTTTTTTTAGGAGATTTTATGGTGAATTTTTGGAATTTTTTTAGGAGTTTTTCATGATTATTTGGGGGAATTTTTTTGGATTTTTTTAGGGTTTTTTCGGGTTTTTTTCGGAATTTTTTCAGGATTTTTTTAGGATTTTTTAGGATTTTTTAGGGTTTTTTTCAGAATTTTTTCAGGATTTTTTAGGATTTTTTTAGGGTTTTTTTAGGATTTTTTTCAGAATTTTTTCAGGATTTTTTAGGATTTTTTTAGGATTTTTTTAGGATTTTTTTAAGATTTTTTTAGGATTTTTTTTAGGGTTTTTTTAGGATTTTTTTCAGAATTTTTTCAGGATTTTTTTAGGATTTTTTTTAGGGTTTTTTAAGATTTTTTTAGGATTTTTTTAGGATTTTTTTAGGGTTTTTTTAGGATTTTTTTCAGAATTTTTTCAGGATTTTTAGGATTTTTTTAGGATTTTTTGAGATTTTTTTAAGATGTTTTTAGGACTTTTTTAGGGGTTTTTTAGAGTTTTTTTTAGAA